CCGCCTTGGGCTTCAGGGCTGGCGGGGGGATGGTGCTGTTTATGGCCACGATCCCAGCATCCTTTGTCACCCCTGCCTTGGCCTCAGTCCCAGCAGCCTTTGCCTCAGTGTGAGCCTCAATCCCAGCATCCTTTGTGATGCCTTCCTTAACCTCCATCCCAGGATCCTTTGCAGCCCCCATTTTGACCTCAGTCCTAGCATCCATTGCAATCCCTGCCCTGACCTCAATCCCAGCATCCTTTGCAACCTCCACCTTGACCTCAGTCCCAGCATCCTTTGCCACAGTGTGAGCCTCATTCCCAGCATCCATTGCAATCCCTGCCCTGACCTCAATCCCAGCATCCTTTGCAACCCCCACCTTGACCTCAATCCCAAGATCCTTTGCAGCACGCAGCTCTGCCTTGGGCTTCAGGGCTGGCTGGGGGATGATGCCATTGATGGCCACTATCCCAGCATCCTTTGTCACCCCTGCCTTGGCCGCAGTCCCAGCAGCCTTTGCCTCAGTGTGAGCCTCAGTCCCAGCAGCCTTTGCCTCCTTAATCCCAGCATCTTTTTCCTGGACCTCCATCCCAGGATCCTTTGTGGGCCTTGCCTTAGCCTCGGTCCCAGCATCCTTTACAGGCCCCACCTTGACCTCACTCCCAGCATCCCTTGCTGCTCCTGCTTTGATCTTAATCCCAGCATCCTTTGGGGCTCCCACCTTGACCGCAATCCCAGCATCCTTTGCAGCCCCTGCCTGGGCCTCTATCCCAGCATCCTTTGCAGCTCCCACCTTGACCGCAATCCCAGCATCCTTTGCAGCCCCTGCCTTGACCACAATCCCAGCATCCTTTGTGGGCCCTGCCTTGACCACAGTCCCAGCATCCTTTGCTGCTCCCAGTTTGGCCTCAACCCCAGCATCCTTTGGGGCCCCCACCTCTGCCTCAATCCCAGCATCCCTTGCTGCTCCCACTTTGGCCTCAATCCCAGCATCCTTTGCGGCTCCTGCCTTGGCTTTAACCCCAGCAACCTTTGCGGCTGCTGCCTTGAGCTCCATCCCAGCATCCTTTGCGGCCCCTACCTTGACCTCCATCCTAGCATCCTTGGCGGTGGCAGTGGCGGGGGGCCAGGGGGGCTCGAGGGGCGCGGGGCCGGGCTGGCCCAGGCTGTAGGTGCTCTGGCTGTCGCCGCCGCCCAGCTGCACCAGGCTGAGCTCCGGGCCCGTGAAGCGGGCGCGGATCTGGCACAGGTAGGTCATGACGATGAGCTTGTCGGGCACGGCCAGGAAGAGCATGTCGGCCGGGTCCAGCAGCCGCGCGACGCCCAGCGTGGCGAAGCCGTCAAAGGCCTGGGGGGGCAGGGAGGGGGGGAAAGTGAGGGCCCTGCAGAGCCCGGGGGGCCGGCGCCCCGGCCCACGCCCCCGCCCAAAGCACATGGCGCCCCCGTGCCCAGCCCCACTCACCAGCTTGTTGTTCTTCTTGATGTCCAGCGGGTCCAGGGCCTCGTAGTTACTACGGGGACAAGGCAGGGGCTGCTCAGACCCACCGGGACCCCCCGGCACCCGCAGGTGCCCGCCCCGCCCCCCCGCCCCTGTCCCCGCACGCTCACATCTTG